TTTTTGTATTTTTTCTCCTAGAAAAATCTATTCTTCTAAACTTAGGAGCTGTTTGTTTGCCCAAAAAAGGAGGAAAAGGAGGAGTTGAAAACTGATTTGAGCGCCACATAGAATTTAGGTTTCGGAACATTTCCATTTCACATGTTTGATTCGTTTGTTGATTTATAGAAAAGGGGCTCTGAAATGGGGTTCCACGTCACAATTTCAAGAAATGTGTTTTCAGCGGTTTGAGGCCTGAAAACGGGGGAAATGTCATGTCGCCTATTAAAAAAATAACGTCGCGTGAGGATCGAGGCAGCGGGAGTGAAAACTGATGAGCTTCTTTAGGGTTCCATTCACCGCCTCTTCCTCATTCCCCCTTCTGCCTCTTGCCGTCTCCATTGCTCTGATCCTTTGTTTCGCCAATTTTTCACCTAATAAAACTTACCGCTGATGATGGCCTGTGTATAGAACGCTTCGACGACCATTCAGACTTTTTTGGCGAGGCTGCTCAGCCAGATCTAGCAGAAAGTGCGGGTTTTTAGGGTGATTTGTAATTTTTCTCCTCTTCTACTTGTTGTGGCGTAGGCAGATATGCACCCGCTCGGTCTGATTTTGACTATTAACGGGGTTTCCCTCACCGCAAACCGCTAGAGGTTTGATCTGACTTTATCTTGGGTATCCCTTGTTGATAGAGCAATTTAGTTATAAATTTTCAGTATGCATCTGATTTGGAGTATCTATCCTCAAATATTAATCTGAGATTTGGGGGTTTATGCGTTCCTAACAACTGCAGCATGTAAGAAATTGAACAGATTTATGATTTATAATTTTAAAAATTTTCCCATTTCTAAATCGCGATTGATCTGAGTTTTTGAGTATTTATCCTCAAATATTAGCAAGAGATTTGGATTTTTATGCGTTCAGAACAACTGCTGCATGCATCTGAGATCTATGATTTATTTTAAAAATATTATTCTGAGATTTGGGGGTTCAGAGCTAGGAGAATAAATTTACATTTTCTAAATCCCGTGCTTTTTGGTAATTTTATACCTTTTTCCAAACATGAGCGGGTCTATTTCTGCTCTTATTTCCTAACCCCATGAACGCGTATATTTCCCATATTTGTAAGTTATTTCCCATATCTGTTGTTGATCATTTTTGTTCTAGAGCAAATTTCCATTCTTTAGTTAAGCTGTTGTCATTTTTTACGGCTAGGAATTTAATGTGTTGTATCATTAAATTTATCTGATGGATAATCCCAACTGAGTTAAAATGGGGTGCATAAAAATTTATCTGCTAGCTAACACCAACACAGTTTTCTAAATTTCATTGGCATTTTAAAATATTTAATTTGTGACATGTAAAAATATGTGATGCACAATAGTTATTCACTGCTCAGCTGCTAAGTTTGTGTAATGTAATACGTATTAGCTGCTTATTTTGTAGATAGAGGTGCAATGGCAGTTGCCAAATCTGGGTTGCTTGTTTTGTAAACGTTACTGGGATTAACAAGTCCATAGCCCTACAATAAGTATTTCTAGTATGGGTTTAATATGTATCTGTTTTGATTTTTAATTTATAATTTTAACTGATAAGCAAAATTTGTAGATGGATGATGATTATGATGATGAAGAGGTTGTTTTAAGAATGTGTGTTGGGGCTGCATTTTCAGTCATGGTTCTAGTTATCACATTTTTTAGGAGAATGAAGTGTCGCCGCAGATTAATACGGTCTGGACCAAGTGAAGAAAGACTAAGGCATGAAAAAACTAGGGCAGAGTTGATGAGTCGTATATATCACGGTTATAGTGATAGCTGCCAAAACTTTTTTAGAATGCGCTCAGGTGCTTTCATTAAACTAGCAAAGTTAATGAGGAAAAAACATCTCTTAAAGGACTCAAGACATATAACAGTAGAGGAGCAGCTTGCTATAACATTGAATATATTGGGCCATAAATCCAAAAACGCATGATAAGAACACAATTTATAAGATCAGGGGAGACCATTAGTAGATACTTCAACAGAGTATTGCAAGCAATTTCGTGCATACAAGGCCGATCTATGAAACAAGCACCGAATGAAGTGCCTCAAGAGATCCAAAGCAATCCATCATTTTATCCATTTTTTAAGGTATATCATTCACTCTACCAAAATACACAAATAATTCTCTAAACAAAGCATACATTAACATAGTAAGTTGTACTCTATAGGATTGCATAGGTATGATAGATGGGACACATGTGGATGCTATGCTACCTGCTACATTTGTTACGCGTTTCAGATGGTGCAAAGGTGTCAGACAAAATATTTTTATGGCTTGCACACCAAACAAATTGTTTACCTATGTATTAGCTGGGTGGGAGGGGTCGACTAATGACTATAGAATCTTCCAAGATGCTTTATCTAGACCACAACCATATGGCTTACGGGTGTACACTAGTAACAATCTCGTAAACTCAAAAGTAATTACTCATTTGTCTAATATTCCTCACGGTTAATTACACGGTCATATCTCATTAAAATACTTTGCAATATGTAGGTAAATATTACTTGTGCGATGCGGTGTACACAACCCAGCTGGGTTTTATATCCCCGTACCGTGGTGTTCGTTATCATCTAAAGGAATTCACGAGAAGAACACCTCAAAATAGGAGGGAGTTATTCAATCTTAGACATTCATCTTTGAGGTCAAAGATTGAAGCTACCTTTGGTATATTAAAGAATCGTTTCAAGATTTTCACAACAAAACCCCACTACCCCTTCCCCGTCCAAGTTGACATTGTTTTGGCATGCACGGTTCTCCATAACTATATTGCAACAGTCGACCCAGACGATGACTTGCTCAATGAGACTATCGACATTGAAGAGGATGATGCTGAAGAGGCAATTAATGAAAAAACCAACATTATGGATTTCAGGCAGTCCCAAACAGTAAGAGAGCAAGGTGCCTCAAAGGATGAGTGGAGGTCTTGCAGAGATCAAATCGCATTAGACATGTGGATTGATTATTGTAGTAAATTCTGACATGGTGACACGACTAAGCCTGCCTTGTGATTTGATACTATTGCCTGGTTTTTTTAGTAGTACTTTATGTTTGTTGTTCGTGTAACTTAATACATTAATGTTGTTCACTATGATGTTAATGTGTGCCTTTTTCTACTTATGATTCACATAGTTCTTGTTGCTTTAATGACATGTGCAGGGTATCCATTTGTGCGAGATTTAATGACATCTTGCAAAATACTTTAATGTCATCTATGACAATTGTTTTCAGTCATTGTATAATGCTTTAATGTCATCTTTTACAATTGTTTTCAGTCATTGTATGATGCTTTAATGCCATCTATTATATTTGTTAATCTATTCTATTGCAATCATTTTACAGTTTCCATTTTGCCATATTTTTATGACTTACATATGACTTGATGAGAACCACATTTGTTGGAATATAGGAAATGGGTGATAAAACATCCTCTGAAGGGAATGATTTGGCCAAAGGGAGGACTACTACTCACTCCCCAACTTCAAGGTCCCACCACCCTCTCCTACGTTCCAGGTAAGCAGTGGGTTCAATTATAATTTCAACCCCATATTCCAGCCATCCTCACCCTTTGTGCCATCACCTTTAGTTTTTTCAAATATTCCGCATACCGATGATAACTTTTCCTTATGCCTCACCCAATTTCATCTTACATGCACATGCTCAGTAGTCCACCATCTTTGCCACAAACTTTTCAAGGCTCCAATTCCACCGGGTACTTTCATTCTCCAACTAGTATTACATGGACTACTTCTGATTTAGGTAACAATAAAAGATTAGCAAGGGATGAAGTAGTAGCAACTTCAGCTAGTACACCAAGAAAAAACAAAGCTCTTGTCCATAAGAAAAGAAAAATACCACTTGAGCCTGAAAAAGCTGCAAATGTGGCCCCAACCAGATGGTGGGCCTCTGCTCATGATGACGTACTCATACCCTTTTTGATTTCATGCTCATCTTCGGCCCACCTAAAAAATTTGCATTGCCTATTTGGGTATTTGGCACATCCCCAAAAGTATTTGCCCTTGTTCGATCCACTTTTGCACAGCTTCAATGGTGTTGGTATTTTACAAAAGCAAGTTACCTCTGGAGATTTGTTCTAAGAACTTTGGGATGCAGCCATGGCTTAGCTCAGCAAGTGAAGAAGGCCCTTTGGGAATTTATTTGCTCAGGCTGCTGCAATTTGAAGAGGCTCAGGTCGGAGTGGGAATTGACTTTGTTGCAAATGAAAATTCATCATGCATCACAACTATATAGGTGCACCCATGGTTACTGTGACGAATCCCCAACTTTAGGTCATTGTGCCGTACTTGAATTTTTTGCCCGTTGCTCAAATATTACCGTTGGGAGCTTGATAGGACTTTATGAGCAGTAAGCTCACCACAGTGTTGTTATACAAGGTTTCTCATTTTCTCTCTTGTGCATGCCAAACATTGGAAGTTGAAGAAATGTAAAAAAGGGAGATGATTTCTAG